TACACATACATACACACACAAAGGGATCGATTGACAAGGCTGACAAGGATGATGATGATAATTTTTATTTATATCCCGCCCCTCTGTCACGCAATCGAGGTGGCTCACAACAATTTTAAAACATCATACAATATTAAAATACCATCCAAATCCCACAGCCCCCCACCCCTCAAAAAAAGAATTAAACAATTTTTACATTAAAACAATGATTCAAACACACAATTAAAACAAACCATAATCAAACTAACAATAATAGGCGGGGCAGCATTTAAACCAAATGTAGGAGGGATAAAACATTTGGAAACATTTAAAAAGTTCTGCTTTGGTGGTAAACCCTAAGAAACACATTTGAGGCTGCAGGTTCCTCATCCAGGCGCTGCAGAATTGCACAAGAGCTTCCGCATCCACCGTAGGTGAAGTTAACCGTCTGAGTAGGCAAGTGATAGTAAAGAGAGCATGTGAGCGGCGGTATGTTTCAGAACAAGCTTTGAAGATAAAGGAAAAATGAACTTACAAAAGTATTGCTCCACACCAAGCTGCCCAAGAGCCTTTCCTTCTGCCATCAGAAGCAAACTGGTTGACAACAAGGGAACACATTGTTGACTGTAGCACTGTTTATGGGCTTCTTTTTCTCCAAAAAAGTAATAATAATAAAATAATAATAACATTTATTTATACCCCGCTTAAATGAAGACAATCTAAGCAGCTTACATCAGTTAAAACCCCATACAACAAAATTCATATCCCAACCCACCCCCTTAAAACAGTATTAAATGGCAAGATAATTAAAACAGGAATATAAACATTCCAACACAAATAAAGTTCATCCAAATCCTTTCTTGTTGCCTCCTGACACTAGAAATAAATGACCTCCCCCCCCCTTTAGCTATTTCTTACAGGAGTGTGAAAAAATACGTTGAATTACTCTGAACAAGAAGACATCCTCCCCATATATATTATTTGTATATATTTTAAAACACCTGCCTTGCTACTTCCAACCATTTGTATTCCTTTCCAGCATATTTATTTTAATAATCATGTCTTTTATTTGCCGACTGCCCCCGTTGTTGTTAAGAATGATACAAAATTTTACCAAGTAATACATATGGGGAGGATGTCTTCTTGTTCAGAGTAATTCAAAGCCTTTTTTCACACGCTGCTTTGTTTCTCCTGTTTGTGAAGTCTTGTAAAAAAGAACAGGACTGGGGAGTAGTGGTGATTTTGGGGATACTCCTTGCCCTACTCTGGAGTAAGATATTTTTTCTTCATGTTACTCCTACTCCTGTAAAAACCTCTTACTCCTTTACTCCTTACTCCTACTCCCCAGCCCTGGGAAAAAAAAGCTTGTGTTGTGTGTGATACAACACCGAAACTGATTCACAGTAACTCATTCATTTTCAACATGCATATAAACAAATCCCAAAATCCCACGGATTCCTTTGAAACTGGGAGAACAGTGGTTTGTTACAAAATACCGTAGTTGCGTTCTACACTTACCTGTTACATTGAGACAGCTCTGCTTTTCAAGTTTTACTTGCATATAAAAAACCACATACCTGAGAAACAAAACCAGGATCCCAGACATGTTTGGAAAGCTACAAGTTATTCCTCCCCCCTGCCCAGCTGCTAATAGGATGTACTTCTTACACAGTATCCATCCCATACTCTCTTGCTTAAAAACCTGTTAAACACACAGCAGAGGGGCTGCTGAAGGCAGGTTAAACAAGTCACTCTTTGCAGAGGTATAAATGATCTTATCTTGAAAGTGTGCAAACCCACGCATTAAACTACTCATTTAAACTGCCCCACCTTTCTTGAACAGCTGCAAAGATAAAGGGGAAGTAATATTTAGATGTAAATAGGATTAGAGAAGCATTGCATCGGGGAGGAATCCAGAAAAACAGTTAGGGAAGGATCTTGGAAAACCATTTTTGGACTAAGGTCCAAAAGACACTGCAGAAATAATCCAGTTTGAGGCCACTTTAACCTCCTTGGTTCAGCGTTAGGGATGTGTGGGAATTATAGTTTACTGTGGCACCAGAGATGTCTTGACAGAGGCTAAATGTCTCATAAAATGACAGTTCCCATAATTCCTTAGCATTGAGTCAGGGCAGTTAAAATGATCTCACACTGGATTATTTCTGCAATGTGATTTGGACCTAAAAGTCTCCAAGAATCCTTCAGCCAGGATTGTGGTAGCTATACTTAAAAACAACAACATCCCTTTCAAACCTCTGGTTGCAGAGCATCTATTTGTGATGGCACTCCCTACACATTAGGGGTGAGGAAAGCTTTGTTTCTTCCATTGTTAGATCCCCCCACCCACATTTCTCCCCATTCTTTGGGATTTTATTTGAGGAGGGGGAACAGCTCAAAATGAAC